ACCATTATACAATGCAACCAACCACAATATTTTGGCTTGCATTGTATCAGTTTATGAAAATTTTTATGCATAAAATAAAAATCTATATTTGGATTGTTGGTATAGTATTTTGATTATCCAATGTCATGTATGTTTATTGAAAACATCAAAATGATTCCTTTGATCATCTTTTAATCACAATATAATAGAACACTTTATTGCTCATTATACTACTCTTATTATGTTTCACAATTTGACTATAATTAATTAAAACTAGACTTCATATAATCTTAAATTTAATTGTAAAAAAATTTCAATTAACATATTTACAACATTAGAGTGGACTTTTTGAATAGAGCACTCTCCTGGATCACTTCTATGACTTTAACTATTGAGACTCTCAACGGAGTTTATTGGGGGACTTTCTCTTCAGTTGTCTATCTGTCCGCCTTTCCTGATATTGAGCTCATCATTCATTTTCTTTTAACTTACCAATGAAGGTATTTTGTTTTTTTGTCTTTGTTTACTTCTATCAATAACGCCACACCAAACTTTATCCCAATTCTCTCATATGCATCTTTCTTGGTTGCTCAACCAATAAGAAAATGATATAAATGCTACTCTCAAACTACTAAGAAAGTATACAAATTCATGGATGTCACAATCTATAAGAGTATATATTTTTTCAATTCTAAAATTCAATGGGAGAACTTGAGGGAATATTAAATTTAGTATTTTTTTTTTCAAGATAATATGGCCAATTTTCTTTATCTAAACCAAATCCTATCTCCCAACCATCTCCACTTAAAGAATCAAACTTTATTGTACTCCACCTCAACATGATACCAATAATAAATAATTTTGTGTCCACACTGGAAGAAAAACCACTTAGGATGTAGAGGACACTATACAGACTCAGAACTATCAAGAACCATAATTCAGTCCCCTTCATAATCATAATGGTATGGATTTCATTAACTCATGACTATCTTATACAAATGGTTTAGAACTTCAATCAACCAGTTACACCCAAGAAAGGTATTTGAGGGTGCACTAATCATTCAATTGAGAGATATGTAGCTTATGTGAAATTGATACCATTTTATAGGACTTTTGCGACAAAATTTCATAATATGCAGGTTCTTAACTCTATCCAAGAGACTCTAAAGACTTCAGCATGAAAACAGACAATTGAGTAAGCAATCCAAGCTCTAGAAAAAAATAACACATGAACAATTACAGTGTTACCTCATGGAAAAAATCTTGTGGACTCTAATGTGCAGATTATTAGCTCTATCCAAAAGACTCTAAAGACTTCAACATGAAAACAGACAGTTGAGTAACCAATCCAAGCTCTTAAAAAAATAACAAATGAACAATTATAGAGTTAACTCTTGGAAAAAATCTAGTGGACTGTAAATGGTTATTCATGATCAAATACAAATAAGATGGAAGTGTGAAGAGATTCAAAGTGAGACTAATTGTCAAGGGCTTCATGCAATTGTACGGGACTAACTATCTGAAAATATTTGTGCCTGGTGCTGAAATTAATATGATTCAAGATTTACTCTCTTTCAGTAAATCAAGATTGACATATATAACAAATTGAAGTAAAAAATGTCCTCTTGAATGGAGACATTGATGAAGAAGTCTACATGACTTATACTTTCAGACTTGAAATATGGGTCAAACAAGGAAGGGGTTGGACTGAAGGTTGAATAAGTCTTATATGACTTGAAGCAATCTTCTCGTACTTGGTTTCATGGAATTACTAAAATAGTGATTACCAAAGGATGACATCGGTCTCAAGCTGAACATACATTGTTTGTTCAATCTAATTCTAGAGGCAAAATTGCCACTCTCATAATACATATAGATGAGATTATCTTGATAAATGATGATTTAGAGGAAACTATCAAAATAAAAATAAAGTTTGCAACAACATTTAAGATCAAAGATCCCGAGAATCTTCGATATTTTCTGGAAATGAAGGTGGCATGGTCTGGAGAGAATTCTCATGTCCCAAAGGAAATACATCTTAGAATTCTCAAGCAAAAACTGACATATTTGGGTGTAAACTAGCCGACACGTACATAGATTCTAACAAAAGACTGAAAAGAAAAGAAAGAATCTAGCTGACAAAGTAACATATCAAGGACTTGTGGGCAAACTACTTTACATAGAACACACAATATATGATATTGCATTTTTCAGTTAGTGTAGTAAATCAACACATGAAGAATCTAAAAGAGAATCATCTTAAAACATCGAACACAATCTTGATATATTTAAAGATGACCTCTGGATATGATTTTCTCTCCAAAAAGTTGAGAAAAGTGAGATTGAGATTTGCATATATGCTAGTTGGGCAAAAGAGATAATTGAAAGGAAATTAATCTAGGAGAATTTTGTTACATGGATAAACAAAAAGCAAGTTGTTGCCTCTCAAAGTAGTGCATAATTAGACTATTATGCTATTGCACTAGGAATATGCAAGTGAATGTGCATTCAAATACTATTAAGGGAACTTAAGGTTGAGACAAAAAAATAATAATTAAGATGTTTAATAATAGCCAAACAATTATTAATTTAACAAAAAATCATGTTTTGAGATTCATCTTAAAAAAAGTTAACTAAGTTTATCGGGGGACCTCCTCTTCTATTGTTAAAAAGGGACATCCATCTGTCCGCCTTTCATGATATTAAGCTCATCATTTTAGAAGGCAAACTTTGCTCGCTTACATTTAACTATTTCCCTAGAATGGGAGAGCATGTTGCTTCTCAAACCCGAGTTTGGTTGTCATTTGCATTGGGAAATTTGACTTCCATTCATCTCCATGAGAGTTGTTTTTTAATAGATGCTTTTCTGACCTTTCTTCCTTTGGAGAGATCGAAGAAGAATTGTACTCTTCCAATGATACGTGATTGTTGTTGGGTTCCAATAACTTGATCAATATTTATTGGCATTACAGGGCCAACACATAGAGGAATAGACATTCCCTCGACCCCAAAGCTAGGGCAGCATGGGCGACTATAGGTTCTAGAATCTTTTTTTGGAAACAGGCAATACAAGGACACATATCCTCTCTGTGCTCCTGAGAAGTTGTGGTATTGCTTATGAAATTTTGTAAGGCTTTTGTGCATTGACGAATTGCACCTATTTACACTCTCTTGAACTTGTGAAAGAGGTAATTGCTCATAATAATAAGCTATTGAATCATCAAATGATAGACTCCCTTAGAGTTATGAAAAAGAGCTGACACTTAAGAACATTTTTTATTTTCAACATGCACACAATAGATTCAAAAAATGAAAAATGGTTAGAAGGATTCGAAGGTCCTCTATAGGGATCTAGGGATGAGGTTTTAAAGCACTAAAGAGCTTCAGTTTTATAAAGCTCCCGCAAGAAGACATTCTTCAGTCAACAAGATCGTGGCATTTCGACACACCTTCGTCTATATAATTTGATGGGGTTAAACCTGCACTCTGGGATAGTATGAGTTATTCTTTTCACCCGGGGCCAGTGAAAAGTTTTCTCTAGAGTTGACGCCGATATTGCCTCATCGGTATGGAGGGACTGCCAATTAAGGTGATAACATTGCCACTCGAGCGGGTGTATCTCTGTACATTCCATCATCTACTCTTTAAGTTTATTAATTAGGTAGATTGTGAATTCTTTAGTGAAGTTCATTTTGTTTTTGATATCCATGATTTTGTTTTTCTTATTGCATAGCTCATATTATTGTTTATGACATAATCCACATTCACTATGCTTTTTCAAAGCACTAAATCTTTTTTTTTTCCTAAATCACACATAAGGAGTTGGGGGTCTGTAAGAAGAGAGAACACGAGGAGAGAGAGAATTTAGTAGCGTAGTTAATGCAAGATTCATAGGATGAAGAGAATTAAAAATGTGTTTTTCCAGGATTCTGTAAAAAAAAGTTAAAATCCGGTTTACCTTTAATACCTCGTAGCTGAAAGGTTTTGCATGTATAGACAATATTTCTTGGCCTATATCATCATATACCTCTAGACATGTAAGACTGTCTTGTTAGTCATATCACCTCTAAAGTTGTGGTCGTATAAAGATCCTATTATGGTGTCTTCTTTGATAATTTGAGAGATTTTTTGTTTCCGATGATTCTCGTACTCAATCCTTCATTCTTGGCCTTTTGTACTTAGCCCATGAGTGTTCGACCCATGAGCAGGGTTGTAAGTGAACACAAGCATTTGATGAACAACTTAAATTCGACTCGATTAATGCTTGATCATGTTTGCTAAAATTAGTAAATAAATAAGTTCGAAGCTTTTTTAAAAACTCAATTCTTAAACGAACTAAATTTGAACATAGTACAACTTGTTAATTAATGTTCATGAAGAAACTTATTTATTGCTTAACAATTAGTTTGTTAAATGCTTTATACAAAAATGATATATTTTTAAAATAAAATTTGATTAATAAAATATTATTTAATAATATATTCAATATTAACATACTATAATTTAATATCAACGTGCATATAAATTTGTAATTTTTTTTTATTTTATGAACTAATTTGTTAGTACTTATTTATATTATTTGTTTGGAAGAAAATTTACTTATAACTTAATAGTCGACTCGACTTAACTTGATTAGTGCCTTACCCATGAGTATTTGACTAACTTATGCCCAATCATTTGACGTTTTAATTTGATCTCTTCATTAACCACCTTTGAACTCGCTTATCCAGCTGGTTTGTGCTGGAGGACAGACTAAAAATTATTTGGTCCCGATTAAATTGGGTAACTACTTTTGGTTGTGCACTTACCAACTGATTTATTTACTTAAAAATTAATCACAAAATTTTATTTTAAAAGCAAAAATTATTTTTAACGAGTTTTTTTTGCATATCAAAAGTGAAAAAAATGGGGGCATAATTGAAGTGATAGATATGCAAATACCTAAGAATTGAAGGAAAAGTATGTAAATATTCCAAGAGGAACTGTTTAGCTTCCTTGAACCCCTTGACCAAAATGTTAACAATGAATACTAAAATGGCGGCCCTGTCCTCCTGCCCGCGGGGAGCTGTCTTCTATCATGTTTCCCTGTCTCGCTTTATCTTGCGCGGAGCAGAAGAAAGCGAAGATTAGCGTCGCCGATCCATGGACGGAGGAACCCTAGCTGGAACTTCTTCTTCTACCTCTTTTTCTTATACTCGGAGCATGGATCCTCCTCCGCAAAGTGCTTGGACCGATGCTCATGACCGATTGTTTATTAGGTGGAAATCCTTGCGCGAATCTTCCCAGGTAATTGCGTCGTTCTGTTCCTTCTGACGCGGTGGCTGTCACGGTTTTTGGCAACTAGAGTGATTTACTGCTTCTTGTCTAATTATTCTTGTGCACGGGCAATATATTGCTAGGGTTGTTGAGGGAACTTTAGAATTTGTTCGCTTAAATTGCAACGACGACATTAACGAATATTTACGTTTTTTTTATTTCGTTACTTTTTATGTTGATTAGTGGCCACCGATATCAATTTCAATTTCGAAAGTTAACCAGTTTGATGCTGCAAGGTTGGATGTGGAAATGTCTGCTATGTTGAAGGAGCAGCTAGTTAGAGTATTTTCTTTATTGAAGGTGCATTTATTTTCTTTTGAATATCGGATGCTTCTGATTTCTTATTTGAATACAGTTTAACTTGTACTATTTTTACTTGTTTGGGAATTAGCCAGGGTTCTTATTTCAATATGAGGCGGAGCTCGATGCTTTCCTTGAGTTTCTTATCTGGAGATTCTCAATTTGGGTAGACAAACCAACTCCGGGAAATGCTCTTATGAATTTGAGGTATAGAGACGAGCGCAGGGCTACCACTGTGGGACAGGAAGGTCTGTGATCTTTAGCTTTTTTCTGCTCTGTTGAAGTAAACAGAGCTAATTTCATTTAATGCATTGATACTTGAGCTATACTTGAGCTTTTATAGCATTTGATTATATTATTTTTTAACATATTTAGAACCTTACTGATAAAACCAATGGGTGTTTATGTTGTTAGATATGTAACTTTAAAATATCTTCAAGTTTGGTTAACTAAGTGTACCAATTAGAGAACATGAAATTGGTAGATATGTGCCCATTATGAGATCAAAATTGGCTCTAAATAATGCTGCTGAAAGGCTTTTAATGATTTTTTTTTTCCAAATAAGAAAAAATGGTACTAATTTGTAATGCAGGATGGAAAACTTCCAAAGAAAAAAAAAATGGTACTAATTTGTCATGCAGGATGGAAACTCTTGCCATCGGATTGAAGCTGGATGGTTAATAGGTATATGGAGACTACTTTTTTTATTGGATTTTTAAATTGTAGCTTTATACATCCATAATTAGTGGCTTAAAATATTTGATGAAATAAATAAAATTCACATAATAGTCTACATGAAAATAACATGTGGCTTAAAGACATGCAAGCCTTCCATAATATTTATAATTCTTAAATTGATTATGCAATTTATCTCTTTATTCATTCTATGATAAATATTGCTCTATAACTTAATGTTTCACATCAACCCATGACAATTCACAAGCAGCGCTTGCTAAGTGTTTGAGCATATTCCATTAATTTTTACTGGCACATTCATTAATGTGGAATAAGACATAAAAAATTCAAATAAATCTTCTTAATTATTGTTGCTCATAGAAATTCTGTAAGATCATACCTATTTTCATGTTTATGAATGTAATTTTGAGTCTCTTAATAGTTATATTATTGCCTACTAGGACCATAACCTACTTGATTTTTGTGAAATTTTATTAATATTTGTTTGCTGGGTGCGTGTTTGTGTTTTTTTGTTAATGCAATTGGAAGAATAATGCCGTGATGAGTTTAAATTTCAGCAGTAAAGATCATACTGTGATTGTATTATAATTGATCTTGCATGAATTTAGCTGGTTGAATAGGATTTGATTTGATGTTAGGCTTATCTTTCCTTCTTCTTGAGTATAGATGTTGTAATTAGATCATTATGTAGGTTTTCTTAGAACTTTTGATATTTCGAGGAGGCTAATTTTATTTGTAGGGAAGTCTCAGGGTCAGTTGAGACTGCGTTAGTTTAGATCACAATAGGGAAAATCAAACTTTTTAGCAAAGGTAACATCCCAGAACTTGAAGAGATTTTTGAAACTTAGAGGCGACACTTCAAGCCTTTTTGAGTTGAGGAGTATCTTAAGAAGATGCATTTATGGCTTTTGGAGCGAGTTTAGTATTCTGATGATATTGATGGAGATGTACAATGCTCCCATTTTTTTTTAGCGGAAGCCGTGAGTGTTTTTAATCATGAAAAATTTAGCGAGGGGATGCTTTTTATCGTGAAAAATTTTGTGAGGGTTTCATTAGGTGTTTTGTTTTGAAAATTTTATCGGGAAGATGCTTTATTAGGAATGTGGCAGTTTAAGTGACTTCACCAAATACAAATTTAATACTTTGCTCTTAAAGATTAGGACCCTAATCGTTTTAAGGAGATGACAATCTTTTCTTTCAACCACCTTATTTTATTTTGGGTTGTCGACATGAGGTGTCATGATTTTTTTTTGGTCGGAGATAAGAAAATAAAGCTTGATTAGAACTTCTTCCCATTATAAAACCTATTCTTAATATTAGTGACAAATTGGTCAAGAATTATTCTTTTGAATGTGAGGAGGATTATCCTCGCATCAAATTTATTTTTCAAGAGCAAATTCTAGGTTGCGCAAGAGCAATCATCTATAAAAGTAACAAATCATCTAATCCCATTTATATTGGCGATTCAGGAAATCTGTGTTGATTAAGAAAAAAATGTATTTAGTTTTTTTTTTTCTAGTGTTCAAGGAATGAGGAATTTCATGCATTTGGCCGTTTGATATGCCTCACATTAAGACTCTTCAACATTTGATATGCCTCACATTTGACTTCCTACAGCTCACCTTAAATTAATGAGTACTATTAAATAAGTTATAAAAATTATGCTCGGAGAATCAAAATGAGAAATTCTTATGAATAAAAATAGTTGGTGGTGGAATGATAATGTGCTAGAAAAAAAAGAATTTTTTTTTTTATAAAAATTGGTATAAATAGAAATGTTTAGAGAATTGGAAAAATCTAAGGTGGCCTGTAGAGTGTTTAAGAGAACAAATTTTAATGCTAAGAATATAGTTTTAGCGACGTTTATAATAGATTAGATAATAAAGAGTGTGAAAGATATATGCATAAACTAGCCAAACAAATAAGTAAGAGAAGTAAAGTTTTAATTCAAGTAAAGTGTATTAAGGAAAAAATTAAAAAGTAATTTTTTTAGATGAAGATATTCAACATACGCGGATGATATATTTTTATAAACACTTCAATGAAGATTGTGAAAATACAATCGACTTTAGTGATCTTAATATCATAAATATTAATAAAATATTTTATTTATACAATCACATTAAAAAAATGAAAGTTGAAGATACTTCAAAGAAAATGAAGTGTGGAAAAGAAGTAGGACGTAATGATATTCTAATAGAAGTGTGCAAATATTTAAAAATTCGAGAATTTCTTAATTTACTAAAATTTAAATATTATTTTAAAAATTAAAAAATGTCTAATGAGTGAAGAAAGAGTTTGTTCATTAATATTTTTAAAAATAAACGGAATGCATAAAAGTGTGCAAATTATAGATGGATTAAGTTAAGGTGTTATGCATTAAAGTTATGGGAGAGAGTAATTGAACATATGTTACGTCTCGATACAAAATTTCTCAAAATTTGTTTGGATTCATGCCAGAAAAGTTAACTGTGGATGTTATATATTTATTTTTGTTGATTTAAAAAAAAACTTATAATAAGATTCAAAGAGAAGTACTTTGGAGAGTTCTAGAAAAAAAAACAATATGTTGATATTGCTTATATTCAAGTCATTAAAGATATATATACTAGAGTAGTTACTCGTGTTCGAACACATGGATAATTGACCAAGTGTTCTTGTATTTCAATTGGTTTACATTAGGGTTGGCTTTAAGCCCATATCTTTGTGCTTTAGTTATGAATGTTTTTACTTGACATTTACAAGAGGATGTACCTTGGTATTACTGATGATATCCTTGTGGATATGATGAAAGAGAGCTCAGAAAAACTTGAATTATGGAGGTCAACTTTAGAGTCAAAAGGTTTTCATTTGTGTAGATCTAAATTGAATATATTTGATGTAATTTTAGTAGTAGTAGGTATAGTGACAGGGTCGTAACTATGAGTGACAAAGTCATTAAAAGGAGCAGACATTTTAGATATCTTGAGTCTATTGTTGAAAGTTATGGTGCTATAGATGGGGATGCTATTAGTAGAATTTAAGTTGGATGGTTGATTTGGAGGATTGTATCAGGCCTATTGTGTGATAGAGAAGTACCAATTAAGACTTAAAAAGGATAATCTTATAAGATGGTGGTGAAATTTGCAATGCTTTATGGTGCAAAATGTTGGTCTTTAAAAGGGAAGGATAAAATTAAATTTGGTGTTGCTGAGATCAGCATGCTCAGGTGGATGAGTGGCTTTACTTTTAGCGACAAAATGCGAAACGAATATATACGTTAATGGCCTTGGATGGTTTGGTCGCATTAATCGTCGACCATCTAATGACTTCGTTAGGAGAGACGTTTTAGATTTGGCTTATGTTAAGAAAGGTAGAGGTAGATCTAAAATAACTTGGGCATGTTGTAAAATTGATTTTAATTTATTAGGATTAAATGGAAATATAACACTCAATAGAACACAATAGTAAAAAAAATTAATGTAGTCGACGCCATTTAGTGGGATAAAGGCTTGTTGTTGTTGGTACACTTTAAGGTGGTGACCCATCCAAATATGATGGAGCCAAATTTGTCCTTGTTTTCAAACTTTCAGATAATTGAAGTTGAGGCATGCCATTATTACTATTGGTATTTGGATAGTAGAGTCATTCTTATTCCCTAATTTGCCAAATCATGTTTCTCATGGCTCTTTCTTTAAATATTTGATGAATATGATAAAATACTGCATTGTTGGTTATTTTGTGTTAGTTTTTGAATATATATTTGATTCACAGATAATTTGTGAAGAATGCATAACAATTATTGACCATGAGTGAGTTTCTAAGATCCCTTGCCAGCTAGCTGCTAGGGTTACATCAATTACTTTTATTTTATGTTTTTTTGGGCAGGGTATATAGCAAGAGAATTGGGCTGAAGAGTTGATCTTCTGATTTATTTGTTCCAAGTCTATAATTTAGGTTTTACTTCAACTAGTTTTATAAGCGCATGAGATCTATGAAGTGTAATACTCGATTAAATCATAGAAAATTTATTCATTGGTATATCAAATGCTGTCAAGAAGATGCACAATTTCTCTATTTCTCTTTGCTTTAATCCTTATATGTCTACCGACAGTTTCTTCTTCTGTAGAAGTAATGTTTGCTAGATGTTTATGGATTGATTTTTGGATGGAGACTTATTTTGTTGTGTGGAGGTTTCTCATGGAGTTTCTAATATATATCTTTTGTATGTCTCTTCTTTTTTACTCTAATTTAAAAATACATGTTATCAATTATTGGATCCTTTTGGCCCTCGTTTAGACTTTCTTGTCTCATTTCTGCTTCTGTTTGGTATAGGGACCACATTGAGGCAACATTCTCACCAACTGCAATGTTTCTAACATAACATCTTATCTCCCTTTTTCACTTATGAAAATAAAGATCTCATTTAGGTTCGGCCTGGTAGCCAAGAGTGTTGAGGTGAGAATAGATGATTGGATGGAAATTTGAAGCTTCACCTATACTTTACATACCATAGCCACTAAAAACTAATTTTCTTTCTTTCCATTCATTTAAGACTTCCAATATAAAAGAA